AGTGCAAGAGATGCGCTCACGCGAGTGGTCAACAGCCAGGAAGTCCAAAACTTGGGCGAGGGTTTGAGGACCGCTGGCCTCAAGGTAAGCCCCCCGTCTGCTTTCGATAGCTATCAACGATTGACGGCTCCTACAGCTTTCCGAGTATCTGGCGCATTTGAGTAATGACAAGTGATGGCTCCGAGCAGATATCATGACATCCTACGTTTCGCATATTTGCCAATGGAGACTACCTGTCTATCTTTATTCTTGAATGCACGCATTACTCGGGGTTTCTTTCGTTCTTCTAACTCTAAACAGAAAGGAAATCATATTTCACTAAAGCATCGACATTCATACGAAGAAACACCACACGACAAGAAGGCGTTCACAGATTATTGGCTACAGCAAAACCCTTAGAGGCTACACCAGACCGGCCGATCGTCGAATGCAGTTTGGACAGTTCTACTGATGGCGATTAAGAGTTAGCTTCATGTCGAAGCAAGGAGGCATGAACTGACCTTCTCCCAACAGTTAAGCTGTCGGTTTGATCCCAGGGGTTTGAGGCGGTCCCGGCATGGGATATTTGGGAGCGGCTGGAACAAGCTTGCGAATACGTTCATTCAGTTCTTCTTTTCAGATAACTGAGCGAGCTCACAGAATTGAAGTCCAGAACAAGCCCGGCCTCTTCCATCATCTGCATGATATGGCCGGAAATATTGGGGCAGTTTCGCAGAGATACTCGAAGAATACTGCCGGGTCTCTCGTCGCCATTCGATATGTTACCGTGCACTGGTAAATATTTTGAAGCAAATGCGAAAATCTCCTCTCCTTCGTCTTGATAGTCAACAATAGAAAGAACCGTCAGCTTCTTTAACAGTCTTTCAGCCTTGCTGGTTTCTTCGCTTTCGGAAAATTCGATGAGAGAATGGAGCAACGGGCGCACTGCATCACCCATGATTTCCAAGGTTTGAAGCTTAGGAATCTGGCGAAGATAGGTCGATAACGAGACCCAGTTTGCGTCTTTATCATTCTCAATGGTGACTTTTGTGATGCTTCCTCCGCCTTGAGAGTCGATAACAAACGTTTTCCATGCCTCTAAATCGACGTGCTCGGATGAAATAACGGTGAGAGAACGAAGTACCGGTGTGTAAAGAAGAGATCGATAGAGGATTATAAGTGTTCCTAACCTCGTTCGAATAGAATCCAGACTTTTAAATGATGTGGGTTCTATACTGTCATCGGGTTGAGGGTTAGAAAATGTTGTCACAAGTTCGAGGTGCTTCATCTGAGAAACTTGGAGGATAATCCACTCGCGGAAGAGGGGCCACATCAGACGCTCCGTGGTCGAGTTAATTATCTTTAATTTGATAAGGCTTGCCGCCCATTTTGTGTCGGATCTTCTGAAGATTTTCATAGGCCCACAGTTCTTGAGAGTCAACTCCTTATTTACCGTTGAAGTGACTGTCCAAGATAGCTTTTGAAAGGAGCACTGATCCATAAAGGCAATCGTCAATTTTTCCGGAGTACTGATCGTCCTTGCGATGAATAGGAACACTTCCTTCCCCATGGCTCCACCCCTAATTATTAGATGACCCAGGGGATTGGAACTAGATCTAAGCTCTTTGAGCAGCTCCTCCTGGATATCGTACGTCTTCGGTGAAACCTCAATTATAATCTGCAATGGCTGGGAACCACTAAGCTTGAGATAATGTTTGGTCCTTTCCAGTCTCTTGGTGACTAAAGAGTCCGGTTTGACAACGTTTTGAATTATTCGCCATAGGTATTGGTGTTTGAGCGCTATAGTCCGCCACAACTGGCAAACAGCAGAGAGGATGAGTGAAGGATAGTGAGGGTTCAGTTCTGGAGCTAGACTACCATCTCCCTGTGTCTCACAACTACTATCAACGACAATTGCGAAAATTTCTCGCCATATCGCTTCCGGAACGCGCCAGATGGTGCGGTATATCCTCGCTCCAGTAATGCGGTTAAGCTCTTGTATGTGGTCCTTTATAGCTTGGACTGTAGCAAGGCATCGTTCTTCGCGAGCTAAGGCTTCTTGCTGTGCTTCCAAGCTTTGAGTGACGGCGTTTTCGGCATCCACAAGAGCACTATGAGCCTTATCGATTTGATCTGACATCCAATTTTGTCCGCCTCCCCATTGACTCAGTACACCCGCGATACCATGTAGGCTTGGCTCTATTTGGCCAACACTCGATGTCTGGAGCTCCTCATAGCTTCGCTCTATGTCTAGTACCGATGAGATTAACGTATTTTTGAAATCAAGGAAGGTGATCTTCATGGCTCGCGCCGCGCTGAGGCGCAACTCTGCTGCTGCTCGATTCACCGCTGTTTTTTCCACATCGGTGGTAGCCTCATGCGCTCGAATTGTCCATATATCCAGTTCTTCTTCCAATAGAGCGGCTATTCTGAGGCTCAGTGCCTTTTCTTCCTCAAGATAGGTGTTCTTTGGGGGAAAAGGGTTACAATTGCGCTGCAGAACCGGCCGAAGAATAGATTCTGGTATGTAGAATGGCATTATCTATTTATTTTTCTTGTTTTGAGAGAAGTAGGTGAGATAGGTTGGGTTGAGTAACGTGAGTTGG